TGAGTAGTCTACGGTATATTCGGTTGTATATACTGAGTCGTCTATATTGGGTCGTATATACTGAGTCGTATATCCAGGTCGTATATACTGAGTCGTCTATATTGGGTCGTATATACTGAGTCGTATATCCTAGGTCGTATATAGTGAGTCGTATATGCTAGGTCGTATATACTGAGTCGTATATCCAGGTCGTATATACTGAGTCGTCTATATTGAGTCGTATATACTGAGTCGTATATCCAGGTCGTATATACTGAGTCGTCTATATTGGGTCGTATATACTGAGTCGTATATCAGGTCGAATATACTGAGTCGTCTATATTGGGTCGTATATACTGAGTCGTATATCAGGTCGTATATACTGAGTCGTCTATATTGGGTCGTATATACTGAGTCGTATATCCAGGTCGCATATACTGGAGTCGTCTATATTGGGTCATATATGCTGAGTCGTATCAGGTCGAATATACTGGGTCGTCTATATTGGGTCGTATATACTGAGTCGTATATCAGGTCGTATATACTGAGTCGTCTATATTGGGTCGTATATACTGAGTCGTATATCAGGTCGCATATACTGAATCGTCGTCTATATTGGGTCGTATATACTGAGTCGTATATCCAGGTCGTATATACTGAGTCGTCTATATTGGGTCGTATATACTGGAGTGGGCATTATATCAGGTCATTATATACTGAGTCGTCTATATTAGGTCGTATATACTGAGTCGTATATCAGGTCGCATATACTGAATCGTCTATATTGGGTCATTATATACTGAGTCGTATATCAGGTCATTATATACTGGGTCATTCTATATTGGGTCGTATATGCTGAGTCGTATATCAGGTCGTATATACTGAGTCGTCTATATTGGGTCGTATATACTGATCGTATATCCTAGGTCGTATACTGGAGTCGTCTATATTGGGTCGTATATACTATGAGTCGTATATCCAGTCATTATATACTGAGTCGTCTATATTAGGTCGTATATACCGAGTCGTTTATCTGAGTCGTCTATATTGAGTCGTATATCCTGGTTGTATATCCTCAGTCGTATATCCGGGTTGTATATACTGAGTCGTCTACTGTATATTCGGTTGTATATACTGAGTAGTCTACGGTATATTCGGTTGTATATACTGAGTCGTCTATATTGGGTCGTATATACTGAGTCGTATATCCAGGTCGTATATACTGAGTCGTCTATATTGGGTCGTATATACTGAGTCGTATATCCTAGGTCGTATATAGTGAGTCGTATATGCTAGGTCGTATATACTGAGTCGTATATCTTCTGTATATACTGGGAGACCTTAACTTGGGTATATCTCATTCTGTTATATAAACGAATAGAATAATCTGATCATGTCTTCGTCCTCCTCCTCCTCCTTTCTTCCTTCACTCTTTTCATTATCAGGACCCAAAGAGAAAGAGAGAGACAGAGAGAGAAAGAGAGAAAGAGAGAGCAAAATTTTTTTCCCCTTAGGTAATGAAAACCGCATCGGTAATTGGAGAATCTCTCTCTCTCTCTCTCACACACACAATTGATAATGGAGTGAAACATATGATGCCCCTCCATCATACCGTTAGTCTTAATTACCAGTGAGGGAGATAGGGAGAAATATAGAGACGAGGAGATACTCGGGAACTTCGTGTTTTCTTTTTCCTTGTGGTTATCAGCATATATATATATATATATATGGGAGATAAAGAGAGACATACAGAGGAGATGAGGGAGGAGTCGAGGAGATGAAAGGAGAGGTGGGGGAGATGAAAAGATACACAGAGGGGGAGAGATGAGTTGAGAGACAGAGAGATATATCGGGTGAATGAAGGGAGAGAAGACACTAGAGAAGGGGGAGACGCCATTCTGCTCGCGCCATTAACCAACACCATAATGTTCCACAACACTCCTCCGTCCATCATTAATCCACCCATTAGTTCACTGTTTTACTTCACCATCAACCCATTTATCTACCCATAAATCTACCCAAGAACTCAACCATCATTCAACCCAGAAAGCATGTTCTATGACACACTCTACTACTACTACTACTTTGCTGTCACTCTGAATCGAGTATGACGATCATCCAGCTATGATACAATGATATGAGTTATTAAGGATGTCACCTAGGTTGGTGAGTTCTGAGGTGACTAAAGAGGCCGATACAAGACCGGCAGGTTAGTTCACAGATGTTGCACATGTGGAGGGCTACATCTAGTGCGGGAGGTGGGGCGGCAGCGTCTTTCCGGCGTTGGTGTTTGTCTGCCTCGGTTTGCAGTCAGGCTAATTCGAAAGTATTGGCACCTTCTTGTGTGGTGCTCCTCCAAGCGTTAAAGTGTGGAATAATCGTCTCCCAGGTGAGGGGGTCGATTTGGTACTTTTTCAGGTTTGTCTTAAGACTATCCTTATACCTTTTCAGTTGCCCGCCAGCATTACGTTTACTGTTCGTTAGATAACTGTAAAGTAGCTGCTTTGGCAATCTAATGTCGTCCATGTGGGTAATGTGGCAAGACCAGCATAGTTGTTCCTGGTTAATGGTAGCCTTGATGCTCCTACACTTGGTGTTAGCAAGAATACTGCCATTTGTTCTCTTGTCTTCCCAGCGAACTCTGAGGATGGAGCATAGACTACGGCGGTGATAGTTTTCAAGTGCCTTGGCCCATGTCTCGCTGCCATATAGCAGGGTTGGGAGGACCACTGCTCGATATACGTGCAACATTGTAGATAATTTCAGCTCCCTGCAGCTGAAGAAACGGGTACGGTGTCTGCCAATGGCATGAGTTGCACATCTGATCCGATGTTGAATCTCTTCATCGATGTTCGCGGTGGTGGACAGGTGGGAGCCGAGATACTGAAAGTGGGTAACATTAGAGAGGATAGTACCATTAAGCTGGATGGATGGTGGAGGTGTGGCTGTACCAGAGACAGGCAGAAAGAGAACCTGAGTCTTACGTACATTCACCTCAAGGCCGAAGTGTGCCTACGCATCTGCATAGGTGTTCACGATCTCCTGTAGGTCGTGTTCAGCGTGAGCGACAAGAGTGAGGTCGTCATCATACTGAAATTCAGTAATGGAAGCTGTCGACTCCTTTGTTCCTGCCTGGAGTCGTCTTATGTTGAAAAGCTCCTTCATCCGGTACTGGATGTTCACCCCGCCGGCTAAATTGGCACTGGCACGAGTAAGGAAGGCAGCCAAGAAAATGGAAAAGAAAGATGGTGCCAGTACACACCCGTTTGGATGGGGAAGAACTCGGACTGGGTGCCATTGTGCAGGACACTGCCGTTCATGCCATCATGGAGTTGCCTCATGATAGTGATGAATTTTGGTGGGAAGCCAAAACGGCTGAGGGTCCACTAGAGGGCCTCCCTGTTGAGCGAGTCGAAGGCCTTGATTAGGTCGATGAAAGCCATGCACAGGTCACGATGCTGTTCTCTGCACTTTTCCTATATCTGGCAGGCAGCAAAGATCATGTCAGTGGTGCCACGTGATGGTCTAAAGTCACATTGAGATTCTAGGAAGAAGTTTTCTGCCTCAGAAAGAAGTCTGTTTGGGAGGACCCAGGCGATAATCTTGCCAGTTATGGACAGCAGCGAGATCCCGCGGTAATTGCCACAACTTGTGGGATTTACTCCTTTTCCCATATATTTTCCAGGAGAGAGTGGAGACGGCTGGTAAGCAGAAGTCTTCCTGCATTATACACCTCGCCTGGGATTCCATCAGGCCCTGAAGTTTTGTTATTTTGCATCTGTTTGATGGCAGTAGCTACCTCATCCAGGGATGGAGGATAGCTGAGTTGGATGAGCTCTGGATGCTAAGGGACCTGCTGGGTAGTCAGGATATCCACATCAGGGTTTCGGTTGAACAGCGAATGGTAGTGCTCTTTCCAGCGCTGACGGATGCCTTCTTCATCTTTAATTAGGGAGTTAGCATCTGGTGAGCGAAGGGGGAATGTGCCATGAGTGATTGGCCCTTAAAATGGTTTAGTAGAATTGGAAAATTCGCGCATCTTGTGTTGATCTGCAAGTTTTTGCGCTTCATATGCTTTATTTTTAAACACACACTCACACACACACACACACACACACACACACACACACACACACACACACACACGCCAGAAGTGTTTACATGATTGACTATTTATTGAACCTACTTGAGCTTAATTGAACCTAAATTGAAAATGCAGATTGGAAGAGACAGATAGAAAGACAGACAGAAAGAGAAACAGAGGAAAAGAAAGAAACAAACAAAGAAAGAAACAAACCAACAAACAAAATGAGACAGACAGACAGACAGATAGACAGAGAGACAGACAAACAGATAGACGGACAGACCACACCCTCCCTGTTTTCACACCATAAAGTTATTACTGATAAACGTAACGACAGAACCTTCCCATAATGGTCCGGGTCTCAATTTACTTTTACTACAGACGAATGTGAATTATGTGGGTGTACCGCAGACCAGAGCAACAAGTCTTGTATACCCGAGACTCATACCCGAGACTCATACCCGAGACTCATACCCGAGACTCATACTCGAGGCTAATTTGATTACATTACACATGTGCAGGAAGCCATAACGTGGACACTAAATGCAAACTTATTCAACCTTACCTAACCTAACCTTATCTAACCTAACTTGATTTAACCTAACTTTATCTAGCGTAAACCTATCTAACTTATTAACCGAACTTATTTTAGACTAGCATAACATAACCTAACCTAATCAAAACCTGACTTTACCTAACTTGACCCAAATTAATCTGTGTCACTCAGTTTCACTCCCGTCACTCTTCTCCTTCTCTCCAAGGCTCCATCTACCGTCACTCAAAGTCACTCCTTCCTTCCCCTACATCCCTTTTCCCTTTAACGTCATTCTTCCTATTTTCCTCCCCTTAGCGTTACTCAGCATCACTTGACGTCACTTCCCTACTCCCACTATATTTTTCTTCTCAATTACTTCCCCCTTCACTCAGCGTCACTCACCAACCACAGTGAGCCAGACGACCTTAGACATGGGCGGGGTGGTAGAGATTTGACACTCGTAGGCCCCGGCGTCTCTGTGTTGGGCGTAGTGGATCTTCAGTAACCAGTCCTCTGACCCGGGCTGGTGGACTGACCTGAATCTGTCGTCACTGGTGTAGGTGAAGCGACCCACCGTCAGCAGATGTAGGTCACGACTCCGCATCCACGAAACCTGTGTGAGAGAGATGCAGGTGTTGTTTACTGTCAGTAGGTGTAGATGATCTATAACACCTGTGTGAGAGAGATACAGGTGTTGTTTACTGTCAGTAGGTGTAGATGATCCACGACACCTGTGTGAGAGAGATACAGGTGTTGTTTACTCTTAGCAGGTGTAGCTGATCTATAACACCTGTGTGAGAGAGATACAGGTGTTGTTTACTGTCAGCAGGTGTAGATGATCCACGACACCTGTGTGAGAGAGATACAGGTGTTGTTTACTGTCAGCAGGTGTAGATGATCTATAACACCTGTGTGAGAGAGATACAGGTGTTGTTTACTGTCAGCAGGTGTAGATGGTCTATAACACCTGTGTGAGAGAGATGCAGGTGTTGTTTACTCTTAGCAGGTGTAGCTGATCCATGACACCTGTGTGAGAGAGATGCAGGTGTTGTTTACTGTCAGCAGGTGTAGATGGTCTATAACACCTGTGTGAGAGAGATGCAGGTGTTGTTTACTGTCAGCAGGTGTAGATGGTCTATAACACCTGTGTGAGAGAGATGCAGGTGTTGTTTACTCTTCGCAGGTGTAGCTGATCCATGACACCTGTGTGAGAGAGATGCAGGTGTTGTTTACTCTTAGCAGGTGTAGATGATCTATAACACACGTGTGAGAGAGAAAGATGCAGTTGTTGTTTATTGTTAGCAGGTGTAACTCATCCACGACACCTGTAAGAGAGATACACGTGTGTAATCTACTGTCAACAGGTGTTCATCAACCTCCTACATTAAAAGAGGTTCACAAAGTCAGTCCGCACGTTTAAAACTTCAGCGAATCTGTATTTATAGATATAATCCGGACATGACTTTTAAAAGGGAAAGTTTTAGCATCATTACTGCTTTCAACAGGACCGCAATGGTACATATTCATACAGGTTACAGAAGCAGTAAGTTAAAACACCGCAGAATAACACAGTGGAGTTTTGTGTTATGTTACGTGTTAATCTGTCGTTTGCTCTTTCTTTCTTTCTTTTTCCCTTTCTTTTCTATTTCTCTTTATATTTCTCTCCCTCTCTCTATTTCCTTTTCTCCGTCTTTTTATCTTTCTGTCTTTCCATTTCTCTCCCTCTTTCTATTTCTTTCCCTCTTTCAATTTATATCTCTCTCTTTCTCTTTCACTCTCTCTCTTTCTCTTTCAATCTCTCTTTCGCTTTCTCTCTTTATTTGAAATTTAAATATCAATTATATCTGAACCCTGAAATACTTAATTATTACATTCAAAAGCGTACACAGACTTCATAAACCCCGTGTATATGACCGAATCCCTCTTAAGGAGTCGAACCCTCTTATCAGGTAACACCAGCTGGCGTGATACCAGTACACCAGGTATTTTGTATCATTTAATATACAATGAAAATTATATATACAGACAGAAAGAGAAACAGAGAGAGTCAGACAGAGAGAGAGAGAGAGAGAGAGAGAGAGAGAGAGAGAGAGAGAGAGAGAGAGAGAGAGAGAGAGAGTATCACAATTCCAGTTGAAGACCGTAAAAATACCCGGTACAAAACCTTTAATGCGGTATTATTCAAGACTGTCCTTCAGGTAATAAAATCTTGTGTCAGAAAATCCATTAAATTATTAGTAGTTAAAGTGAGTGAGTGTGGCACTTAAGATGTGTGGTTATAAGTGGCCAGGGCATTGTAAGTAGAGGCTGCAAGTATACAAGAATGGTGATAAATGTATGACATACATGCATACATAGCTATACTACTTATATGTAAAAATAGACCTTAATATACATATATACATACATACATAATGTAGTTAAACTAGCATGCACACACACACACACACATATACACATAAAACAAATACTTACATACACCCGGAACACAAGGAAATATATATTAATGCAAACACACATACGATTACACATATAAATACACATACACAAAAAAACGTACACATCTGTCTGTACCCACACACCAATAAGTAGACTAATCGGAGTACAGACAAACACAGACACACAGACAGAAAAACAGACATACAGAAAGACAGATACACCTTCTGTCATGTAACTATTGTCATCTTCTCGCCAGACAAATAGACAAAGCCAAGATAGACAGAAAGACACGATTACCATCTTTCTCACCTGGACCAAAAGACAGACAAACACCTTTACTGTCTTACCCTCACAGAAACAGACTGACAGACAAACAGACACACTTAACGTCTTGGCCCCATAGACACACACACACACACACACACACACACACTTACCGTCTTGCCTCCAAGGTATTTGATGCGACAGTTAAGCACCGCCGTCTTCCCCAACTGAGCCGTAATATTCTTAGAGTTAGTCTCGTCTATCGAAGGTCCGCTCAAAGGTATGTACTTCCAGGCCACCTCCTCCTGCGTCTCCTCCAGGGCTTTGATGATCTCCGCTTCAGTGCCTCCGTCTACTGTAAGGGAGAGAGAGAGAGTGAGAGAGGATGAGAGAGAGAGAGAGAGAGAAAGAGAGAGAGAAAGAGAGAACAAAAGAAGTGTTAGTGTTGGAGTAAGAAGGAAAGGGGGAGCTGGGGGTAGGTGGTGGTGTTAGTGGAGAGAGAGAGAGAGAGAGAGAGAGAGAGAGAGAGAGGCAGGTCAAGGTCTGTATGAATAATGAAAGACCTCCAGAAACAAGTCTCGACAAGGTTTACTGAATGGCCGTATAAGTGGAGTTAGTAATCATAGAAGATATGTCTCTACTCTATAATCCACTGCCTCATTCTACTGAAGAGGGAGGGGGTGGGAGCATAAAAAGTGAAACCCACATGTTTGCGGGTATGGCGTGTTGTGATTGATCTTTCATAGTCCTCTGTGACGGCATCAGGGTCTATGGCGAGCGTTGATTGGTGATTGTTCATGATGACGGTTGTTGGTGTACTACTTGTGGGTGTCTTATTTAACCTATTCTAACATACTCTAACCTGTTTTAACCGAATCTTACCATACTTAGCCTTCTTTAACCAAACCTATTATAATCTAACATATCCTAACTTAACTTGACCAAGCCTAACGTAACGTAACGTAACCTAACCTAACCTTATCCTCAACCAATCAACAGGACGGACACGAACTGAGGTAATGGCATTCAAGAAAGAGCCAATCAGCGCCCAGCAAAGCCCTGGTACGCGTGGGTTTTGTTTACTCACCCTACAGAGGGACAGGGTGTGTGTGTGTGTGTATATATATAGGCAATACAAAAGATATAATAACGATGGGGAGGAAACAGAAGAGAGAAATGATAAAGAAAGAAAGAGAAAACGTATAGAAAGAGTGAGTTTGTTCACTGTTAGGTGTTTTGAGATAGAGCCGAGAGAGAGAGGGGGAGGAGGGGTAGAGAAAGTGCTTTCTCTTTCTCTTTCCTTCTCTTGTTCACTTTTAAATTTTCTATTCTCCTCTCATTCAAATTCTCTCTCTCTCTCTCTCTCTCTCTCTCTCTCTCTCTCTCTCTCTCTCTCTCTCTCTCTCTCTCTCTCTCTCTCTCTCTCTCTCTCTCTCTCTCTCTCTCTCTCTCAAAAGGTTCAAGTTATAACTAAAACCCTATATAATATATACATTACAGTATTGATGTACTATTTAATCAATGTTACAAGTAAATTATATATTAATAATTTATATATGTGTTACCGTTACTAAGGTGTTACCGTTATTAAGGTGTTAGTAAGATGTTACCGTTTTAGGTGTACCAAGGATTTACCGTTACAAAGGTGACACTAAAGTGTTACCGTTACTAAGATGTTACCTGTGGTAATTGGCAGGAGGCAGCAGACAACGGTGGTGGCCAGGTAACTCCTCAACACCTGTAATAAATAGAACACTTGTTTTTACCTCTGTATCTATAGTCAAATATACATAAACTTAATACAGTATTTATAGATCATGTTTAACAGATATGTATAGCTGATGTAGTGAGACGATCATGTATACATAATGATCATTTATGTGTGACGTTTTAATAAAGATGTATTAATAAGGTATATTATATGGGATGAAATGTATACAATGCCCATATGTAACTATACATATATGTAATTATGTATAATATATGTATAGATAGAGCAATACATGAACAATTATGGATAAACTTGCTCAATATGTAATAATATTCAATACAAAGAGTCCGAGTCTCCTTCAGAACGAGTCAGTAGCTAAATTAAATTAAATGATGCAGCACCAGCAGTGTTGGGATCCTGAACTACACACCTGTGAGTATTCTTGGTTATAATGTTCCTTACCTGAGGATGTTATACACATTTCCTCTAACATTCCGTTCTGAATATATGAACAAACACATAATTCCTCTCTCTCTCTCTCTCTCTCTCTCTCTCCAGGTGAAGATGGCATATTATTTAAGCTCTCAGGGAAGAATGTCATTCTTAATACATATACAAATTATGCCCTTGATCATCATGACAACACAGAAATTTTAATATATTTTACATGCATATCAGCAATATGTGTTACACAAAAGATATATGATGTAACAAATTGAAAGGCTCAATAAAAGCTCCTTATGAACGAGATGTAACAAACAAATATTGTAATCTATAGTCAAACAGATGTGACCCAATGACACCTCACCACCAGCTAAGTCTCCCCCGGCGGCTGGACTGTATAGAACTGTTTCACGTCCTATGTTTAATAAAAGATTGGATCACTTGTTTTAATATGAATTTACACATTTTAGTGTGGTGGTGTGACTACCCCACACGAGTCGCAGACGCGGGGGCTCGGAGCAGTGCAAACAACTCGTCTCAAACTAGGGAATGAGCGGTTAAGCAAACTATAGCAACCCGGTAATACCTTGGTGTAGTGAGAGGTGCGCCGGGCGGCCAAAACGGAAGACTGGATGATGTCGGTATAATAAATGCGCCCGGTGGAGTTATGTTCTTCGGTTTGTGCAGTGTGCAGTGAATAGCACCAACCATAACACCACCAGATGTGTTTTCTAAGTAAGGAAGTGCTTACAAGACCAGGGAGGTGAACAGCCGGAGTTAATGCCTAGAATTCTATAGCTTGAATGTTGTACGTAGTGTCCCATTCTACCTCTATGCTATTAAGCGTCTATTTTTTAAGGTTGGCTGCTGCACAAAAGTGACGGGTATGGTATGACAAGAAAATTTAGTTATTTTATAAAGCAGAGTTTGAGTTGAGGCGGAACAACCAGAAAAATGTTCCAAGTTGTTATTATTTTCCTATTTTACCAAAGTGTTCCTGTCGTTTAACAACTCAATCAGATACGTCCAGGATGCGTAGTGGATCAGTGGACAAGTTGTCTGTTTCAGTTTGGGTGACAGCGGTCGAGCCTAACGAGAGCGCTGGACCTTTTTATTTACATTATCATTTGTACGGCGATTCCTTCTTTATCTTATGTTAATGTATATAGAACTTATTTATCAACTTATGTCTTTGTAATATATCAGCGGCAACTGGTGAAACACATCAAGTCCACGATAGATCCTGATATTGCATAATTAATGGAGGCGTTTAACAAGAACCAACCCACACACGCACACACACACACACACACACACACACACACACACACACACACACACATCGTCATCTCACACTTCCCTCACCCATCTGGGGAGGTGGGAAATGGTACTGTACTTTAAGCAACATTTTCACCAATAGTCTCTCAGGAATTTGTAGGCCATTTTGCCCAAATACTCAGGTCCGTAAAATAAAAATAAATATATAAAATCACTAATACTCGACAGTCTTTAATGATGAGTTTTGTGTGTTGACGGTAAACATTAATACTGTTGCAACTATGATGTTTACATGCTCTGTCTGTCTGTCTGTCTGTCTGCCTGTCTGTCTGTCTGTCTGTCTGTCTGTCTGTCTGTCTGTCTGTCTGTCTCTTTATTTGTTTGTTTTTCAGTCTGCTTATTTTATATGTTTGTGTGTCTGTCTTTCTGTTTGTCTTTCTGTCTTTACAAACACCTAGACAGAGAAACACACACCTGTATAAACACTCACACCTGTACAAACACACTTACACACGTCTACATACACCTCTACATCCACTCACCTACTCAGACACCTACACACTGTGATAGACTGCATAAGACTGTGACAGACTGTAATAGATTGTTGTAGACTTTGGTAAATTACAATAGACTGTGATAGACTATCGTAGACTGGTAGATTACAATAGACTGTGATAGACTATGATAGATTGTGGTAGACTGTAATACTCGTAGACTGTGAAATACTGTAATAGACTGTGGTAAATTATGGTAGACTGTGGTAGTGCTGCTGGTTATATATCACTGAATATACTATGTTCGTTTGTCATAAAAGCAAACACACACACACACACACACACACACACACACACACACACACACACACACACATACTACTACTACTACTACTCCTACTTTGCTGTCACTCGGAATCGAGTATGACGATCATCCAGCTATGATACAATGATATGAGTTATTAGGGATGTCACCTAGGTTGGTGAGTTGTGAGGTGAATAAAGAGACCGATACAGGACCCGCAGAGTCGTTCACATTCGTTGCACATGTGGATGGCTGCATCTAGTGCCTCGGTTTGCAGTCGGGCTATCTCGAAAGTATTGACACCTTATCGTGTGGTGCTCCTCCAAGCGTTACGACGTGGAGTAATCGTCTCCCAGGTGAGGGGGTCGATTTGGCACCTTTTTAGGTTTGTCTTAAGACTATCCTTATACCTTTTCAATTGCCAGCCAGCGTTACGTTTACTATTCGTTAGGTGACTGTAAAGTAGCTGCTGGCAGTCTACTGTCGTCCATGCAGGTAACATGGCCAGTCCAACGTAGTTGTTCATGGATAATGGTAGCCTCGATGCTCCTACAGTTGGTGTCAGCGAGAATACTGACATTTGTTCTCTTGTCTTCCTACCGAACACGGGGGATGGAACGTCGACTACGTTGGAGAAAGTTTTCATGTGCCTTGAAATGTCTCCTGTATGTAACCCATGTCTCACTGCCATATAGCAGGGTGGGGAGGACTACTACTCGATATACGTGCAGCTTTGTGGATAATTTCAGCTTCCTACAGCTGAAGACACGGTTTCCGAGTCTGCCAAAGGCTTGAGATGCACATCTGTTCCGATGCTGAATCTCTTCATCGATGTCTGCGGTGGTGGACAGGTGGGATCCGAGATACCGAAAGTGGGGAATATGAAAGAGGGTAGTACCAAAGTTTATGAGAAGATGGGAAAGTTCAGGCATTCACATGTAATGGTTAACACACGAAAGAACGCACAAATTTGGTAGTGCGGCGGATAGATGTCGCTAGTGTTGAGCGCGTCATCTGCAAGTTTACACATTGAATATGACAATCGGAATCCGCACACGAACGCAATACACAAATGAATAATCTTATCAACATGACCAGTAAAGGACATCCGTGCATAATCTGCAAACGGAAAAAGGTTACACATCCCGATTTCGTATTTCATCGATTCCCCCAAAGATAAAGAAAAGTAAATATTGTAAATATATTTAAAAATAGACTAAAAATAATATTGATTAGCCCTGTTTATTATCGATGTATAATATGTTGAAAGTTAAACAATTTCCATGGAAGATGATAGGGGCAAGTATTATCCTTATTGTAATTTTAGTAACTGTAAGTAATTCGGGATAAATTTCTTTAGATGTAGTAGATGGCAAATAATACTAGAAGAAAAGGGTATAACTTTGAAGATGAAAACATTTGAAGAGCTAAATACAGTAGAAGCACTATGTATGCAGTCACCATTTCTCTAAAGAAATTATTTGGCATCTGCACAGTCAAGACTATGCTTTAATGCAGACCCTGACCAAAATTTAGAAGGTAAGATGTAATATAAAAAGTAAAGTTGACTTAATTTTCTGCGCATTTATGAATTAGGTAAAGTACTTCATATTGATGAGTTATGGAAAACTATGGTTACTTGTCCTTATATTAAGGTTACATGATTCATGCTCAGTTGCACCCACTTATATCTGCACCATGATTTTTTGTTGTATTCATATTTTAAATATACTGCATTATTTTAAATATACATAGAACTGTACATTTTTTCAGAAGAAGTGGTTTTGTCATGAGTTCTAGATGCATCCTAATTTTGTTTTCGTTATATTGGCTTTTTTACCTTGGCGGTTTGGCTAATTTATGCATGAATGCTTTATGTAGGCTGTTTTTTTATTTCATATTTCTCGCATGTGTTTATTTGATATTGTTAAAAGTTAATGTTTTTGTGTTTATGTTAAGTAGTACCTGTGATATGTTAATTGTCTTGATTTTATTTTGTTTAGAATGTATTGACAACTGTTGCAATTTTTATTTTTCGAGATGTTTCTTATCTTTGTCATTGTTATTTAGACATCTGTTTATTATATTTTTTGTTTGACGTATTTTCGTCAAATAAAATTTAAATTCATTATTCATGAAAGGGCATTATTTTAACCTATACCAAATATTAGATATAATGAATAAACATTATTTATAACTGTACGTATTTAAAAGTGGACTGATTTTATGATAACATAATTATTTTTATTATTCAGCACCTCGTTGAAAAAGGCACTTGGAAGTGCACTCAATAGATGGAGCGCTATACGCTTTGATAAAATATTACACCTAGTTGTGTTGTTTATGCCTGAGCTTTCCCGTCTTCTCATAATCTTTGGTAGTACCGTTAAGCTGGATGGATGGTGGAGGTGTGGCTGAACCAGGGGCAGGTTGAAAGAGAATCTGAGTCTTACGTAAATTCACCTCAAGGCCGAAGTGTGCATACTGTAGGTCGTGTTCAGTGTGAGCAAGAAGGGTGAGGTCGTTTGCATACTGAAGTTCAGTAATGGAAGCTGCCGACACCTTTGTTTTTGCCTAGAGTCGTCTTATGTTAAAAAGACCCCCCACCCCCCCTTTACCCTGTACCGGATGTTCACCCCGCCGGCTAGATTGGCACTTACAAGAGAAGGAAGGCAGCTAAGAAAATGGAAAAGAGAGTTGGTGCCAGTACACACCCTTGTTTAACCTCTGTCAGGATGGGGGAGAACTCAGACAGGGTGCCGTTGTGCAGGACACTGCCGTTCATGCCATCGTGGAGTTGCCTCACAATGGCGATGAATTATGGTGGGCAGCCAAAACGGCCGAGGGTTCACCAGAGGGCTTTCCTGTTTATCGAGTCGAAGGCTTTGGTTACGTCGATGAAAGCCATGTACAGGTCACGACGCTGTTCTTTGCACTTTTCCTGTATCTGGAGGGCAGCAAAGATCATGTCAGTGGTGCCACGTGATGGTTTAAAGCCACATTGAGATTCTGGGAGGAAGTTTTCCGCCTCAGGAAGAAGGATATTTAGGACGACTCTGGCGATAATCTTGCCAACAACGGAGAGCAGCGAGATCCCGCGGTAATTGCCACAGTCTGACCGGTCTCCCTTATTCTTATAAATATTGACAATGGAGGCGTCTTTAAGAGATTCGGGATTTCCTCCTTTTCCCATATATTCTCCAGGAGAGAGTGGGGACGGGTGGTAAGCAGAGGTCCTCCTGCTTTATACACCTCCACTGGGAATCCATCAGCTACACCTCATCAAGGATGGACGATAGCTCTGGATGCTGAGGGACCTGCCGGGTAGTCAGGACACCCACATCGGTGTTTCGGTTGAGCAGTGAATGGTAGTGCTCTTTCCAGCATTGAAGGAGGTGTTCAACGTCTTTAATTACGAAGTTACCGCCAGATGAGCGGAGGGGGCAGTGCTATGAGTGATTGGGTCCATAAAATGTTTTAATGGAATTGAAAAATTCGCGCATCTTGTGCTGATCTGCAAGTTTTTGTGCTTCCCATGCTTTAGTTTTAAGCCAGTCATTCTTTAGATTGCGAAGTTCCCGCTGAGCCACCGTTTTCTTCCTGCGGAAGGTGTGAGCTTTGGTCCGAGACTGAGGGTTGCTCTGCCAGCACGTTTATCATCGAGAAGTGCATTGATTGCCGGGGCATTTTCATCAAACCAGTCCTGGTGTATTCTTTCGACCTGGCCGAGGGCCTCGCTGCAGGTGTTTGTCATACCAGTGTTGAGAATATCCCATTCGGCACTGGAATTTGCGTTGCTTACTGTTGGGTTGTTTATAACCCATGTTCGAGCTGCTCTCTGAAAGCCTGTGCTACCACTGAATCCTCCAGACGCTTAGTATTAAAATGGCTTCTGGAGGCTTGTTGCCTTCGCCGTTCTGGGACAACGTGAAGTGAGAGCTTGGCTCTGACGAGCCGATGATCAGTGTCACAGTGGTCTGAGCCACACATGGCACGGGTGATGGCGACATCTCGAGAATCTCTTTCTCTGACAATGATGTAGTCAATGAGATGCCAGTGTTTGGATCGTGGGTGTTGCCACGAACCCTTGAAGTTGTCGGCCTGCCTAAACAAGGTATTGGTGATTGTGAGGATGTGTGCAGCACACTTGCTGAGGAGGAGTAGGCCGTTGGGATTACATTTGCCTAATCCATTTCTCCCTATGGTTCCCTGCCAAATATCAGCATCTCTGCTAACTCTGCCATTGAAGTCACCAAGTAGCACAACCTTGTCTTCTCTGGGGACTGAGGTTAGCATTCTGTCGGGGTCGGGGTAAATGGCCTCGTTTTATGCGATCCTCTGCATCCAGTGTTGGGGCGTATGACATGATGTGAGTGATTCAGTGGGACTCGAAGCGTCGTGAGGCGCTCGTTGATCCGAATAGGCATTTCAGTTAGCCTGTGTGGAATGTGTTGACGGATGGCAAAGCCAACTCCATAAATGCGGTTTCTCTCCATAGCAGGCTTACCCTTCTAGAAGAAGGTATAGCCAGACCCCCGTTCTGTGGGTTGGCCCTCATCTGGGAGGCAGGACTCACTAATGGCTGCTATGTCGATGTTATACCTACCCAGCTCTTTTGCCAGAGGGGCGGTTCTTCTTTCGGGAGGCTCCTGTGTGTGTATACAGAAGGGTCCTTACATTCCATGCAGCGACCATATGAAGTTGTATAGTTTGTTTTTGTTTGAATCTGTGATTTTGATTGTGTATTTGACCGAATAAGGATGACCTTACTGGGTGCAGTTGCCCAGTCAGGTTGGGTTTTTAGGCACACACACACACACACACACACACACACACAAACACACACACACACACACACTTTAAAAAATACACACTCTCACTCTCACACACACGAACAAGCATTAAACACAGTAAAATTATGCCTAGGACGTGTAGAGACCCAGTTAACAGGGATTGTATCCACACACACACACACACACACACACACACACACACATATATAGGAGTTTTACGTATGTATGTATGTATGTATGTATGTATGTATGTATGTATGTATGTATGCATATATGTATATATATATATATATATATATATATATATATATATATATATATATATATATATATATATATATATATATATATATATATATATGTGTGTGTGTGTGTGTGTGTGTGTGTGTGTGTGCGTGCGTGCTATACACACAGAGTGGTGAAATGCGTCTAGTGTGGCAGCATTATGTCAGTGGTAAGGTGCATGCACTGTTTACTCCCTCTTGCTTTCAGCTGCCGTCGCTGGGTAGCCCTCGTGGCGAACAGAGAAGCAACTTGCAAAAGTCTTCCCCTGCCAGTACACAGCCTCTTCACCATCAAGACTCCTGCTGTGCCTCCTCGTGGCAACACACGGTAACTGGGTGTCTTGTGGGCCCAGGCTAGACCAGCAGGGGATCTCGGAGTAGCAGTGGGCCCCAGAGGGACGGTGCATTGGCCCACTGGCATGTGGACACGTTCTGGCACCTACCAACCACTGCCTCGCTGCCTTGCGGATTAACATTGGTAGGTATAAGGATACGGGAGTAAACCCTGAATGAAAAAATCTGCGGTGAAGCCCCGCATCATGCAGACATGCTTACAGAGCTCCAACAAGACCCCAACGGCGGTTTAGGTGGAAGAGGCGACCACCATGGAAACCCAACGACTACACCGGCGAATGAAGCCAATGCCTGATGGACAGGCTACTAAGGCGAAACGCAACAAACTGGGCTGTTGGCAGTCCATTGAAACTCTCCCTCTCCCCAGTCGTTGCAACACTTGCACCACTGGATCAGGAAAAGGAGAGCCAAAATGTGTGGTTGCAGCCTGCGCTCCTACCTCACCACATAAATCAACTCACGCACAGCCATCATCCAGTTCATCATACCTGTCATCATCATCAAAACCCCAATACCCCCAAAAGTCCTATGGCGACGGATGAGTGGCGACGGGGACAGGCAGAGATGACTGCCGGGAGTCTCTAATCACAACTCTGCACATAGGTGGCACAGATAAGATGGACGTTTATGCACTGGGATCTAGGCAGCAGTGCAATCCGGTTCTGTCTGTGCGACTGAGCAGCCCTTTCGAGGAGCCACTCTGCTCATCCCACATAGGGAGGGGGCTAAAAAAGGTGCCCTAAACATAGCCTGCCTAAAAACCCAACCTGACTGGGCAACAGCGCCCAGTAAGATTATCCCTATGCGGTCGAAAACACAATCAAAATCACATATCAAAAAAAAAAAAAAAACTATACAACCTCTTATGGTCGCTGCATAGAATCTCAGAACCCTTCTGGATACTGGCACAAATGGGCGTCCTGAAATAAGAACTGCCCTTATGGCAAAAGAGCTGGCGAGGTATAACATCGACATAGCAGCCACTAGTGAGTCCCGGCTCCCAGATGAGGGTTAACTCACAGAACAGGGGTCAAGCTATACCTTCTTTTGGAAGGGTAAGCCTGCTGCAGAGAGAAACCGAATTTATGGAGTAAGCTTTGCCATTCGCCAACGCATCCTACACAGGTTAACTGAAATGCCTATTGGGATCAACGAGCGCCTCATGACCCTTTGGGTCCCACTGAATCACTCACGTCATGCTTTTTTCATCAGTGCATATTCCCCAACACTGGATGCAGAGGATGACAACAAGGAGGCCTTTTACGATGACCTCGACAGAGTGTAGCAGACAAGGTTGTACTCCTTGGTGACTTCACTGCTAGAGTTGGCAGACATGCTAACATTTGGCAGGGAACCATACGGAGAAATGGACTAGGCAAGTGTAATCCCAACGGCCTACTCCTCCTCAGCAAATGTGCTGCATACAACCTCACTATCACCAATACCTTGTTAAGGCAGGCCGACAAGTTCAAGGGTTCGTGGCAACACCTACGATCGAAACACTTGCATCTCATTGACTACATCATTGTCAGAGAAAGAGATCGCCGAGATGTCCTCATCAACCGTCCCATGCGTGGCTCAGACCACTGTCACACTGATCATCGGCTTGTCAGAGCCAAGCTCTCATTTCACGTCACCCCAAAAATGTGAAGGCAGCAAGCCTCCAGGAGAGGTTTTAACACTGAACGTCTGGAGGATCCAGCGATACCACACGCTTTCAGAGAGGAGCTCGAACATGGGCTATGAAGTAAACTAACAGCAAATAATGCAAATCCCAGTGCCGAATGGGATATTCTCAACACTGGTATGACAAACATTTGCAGAGAGACCCTCTGCCAGATCGAAAGAGTACAACAGGCTGGTTTGATGCAAATGACCCGGCAATCAATGTGCTCACCGATGATAAATATGCTGGCTTTACCGACTGGCAGAACAACCCTCAGTCTCGGACCAAAGTTGATATCTACTGCAAAAAGAAAGCAGAGGCCTAGCGGGAACTTTGCAATGTAAAGAACGGCTGGTTTAAAAATAATTCGTGTGAAATACACAAATTTGGAGATTAGCACAAGATGCGCAAATTTTTAAACGCCACTTAAGCATTTTATGGGCCAATCACTCATTGCTCACCCCCACCCTCCTCCTCGCTCGTCTGACGGTAACTCCACAATTAAAGACAATGAAGGCCTTCTTCAGTGCTGTAAAGAGCACTACCATTCTACCATTCATTGCTCAACCGAAACACCGATGTGGATGTCCTGACTACCCAGCAGGTCCCTCAGCACCCAGAGCTGACACATCTCAGTTGTCCGCCATCCCTGGATGACGTATCTGCTGCCATCAAACAGGTGGAAAAATAATAAAGCCTCAGGGCCTGATGGAATCCCAGGAGAGGTGTATAAAGCAGGAGGTCCTCTGCATACCAGCCGTCTCCACTCTCTCCTGGAGAATATATGGGAAAAGGAGGAAATCCCTCAAGCTCTTAAAGACTTCTCCATTGTCAATATTTATAAGAGCAAGGAAGACCAATCAGACTGTGCCAACTACAGTGGGATCTTGCTGCTCTCGGTAGCTGGCAAGATTATCGCCCGAGTCTTCCTAAATATACTTCTCCATGAGGCGGAAAACTTCCTCCTAGAATCTCGGTGTTGCTTTAGACCATCATGTGGCGCCAGATACAGTAAAAGTGCAGACAACAGCGTCGTGACCTGTATATAGCTCTGACCGACCTAACCAAGGCCCTCGATTCGGTCAACAAGGAAGCCCTCTGGTGGAACCTCAGCCGTTTTGGCTGCCCACCAAAATTTATCGCCATTGTGAGTTAACTCCAGGATGGCATGAACGGCAGTGTCCTGCACAACGGCACCCAGTCTGAGTTCTTCCCCTTCCAAACAGGGGATAAACAAGGGTGTGTACTGGTACCAGTTCTCTTTTCCATTTTCTTGCCTGCCTTCCTTACCCGTGCCAGTGCCAATTTAGCTGGTTTGGTGGACATCGAGTACTGGCTGAAGGAGGGGGTCTTTTCAACATAAGACGACTCCAGGCAAGAACAAAGGTGCGTCGGCAGCTTCCATTACTGAATTTCAGTATGCAGACGACCTCACCCTTGTTGCCCACACTGAACACGACCTACAGGAGATCCTGAACACCTACGCAGATGTGTATGCACACTTCGGCCTTGAGGTGAATGTACGTAAGACTCAGATTCTCTTTCAACCTGCCCCTGGTTCAGACACACCTCCACCATATATCCAGCAAAACGGTACTACCCTCTCTAATGTTACCCACTATCGGTATCTCGGCTCTCACCTGGCCACCACCGACGACATCGATGAAGAGATTCAGCATCGGATCAGTTGTGCATCTCAAGCCTTTGGCAGACTCCGAAACCGCGTT